AATGACTGAACACCTCCAGTTAGTTGAGGCTCTCAGAACCATGCTCTGAGGTGTCAGAAGAGTACAAACATCTACACTCAATGGACCAGCGTGCACACTTGGTAGCTACAGATCAGGATCCACTGCTCTATGCCATCCTGTAAATCGTCGACGAAGATGTGGGGGGAATCTGTTACAGAAACATGAAGAAGTTTTTTGCTTTCATCTGTGAAACTGGAAAGAGAGAACAGAGAGATGTTAAACAGACCCATAAAGTCATTCTGGCAAACTACTTGATGGGGCAAATCAGCAATATTTTAATTTGCAGTTACACAAGGAATAGCTTTTCATAGTCATCATCATGGTAAAGAAGAGTGAGTAAAACACTGAGGCTGCATTAGCTGGATAACCAATAGGTCAACAACTATAAACTATGTTTATATTTATGTATTAACATGACTCTACTGTATGTTCTACCTAGGAGCCTGATGAAGGCAGATAGCTGAAAGCAAGTGTTTTTTTCATGTCATACTTGTTTTTGGAGTTCCCCAAATGGTGTATACCTCACAAAGAATCTCATTTCACTGAGAAAGGACCGAGAAACAATGAAGAAGAATTTTAAGCTGTACAGCTGCATTTCATGCAAGGAGCAGTAACTTGGAGCTGAGAGGAATCCCAGTTCTTTGAGATTTTTAAGGGTTCTCTTTGGAGCCAGACACATAAGAAAGGCTTGGTTATTAGTAAAACTGACTGTGCAGAAGTGACCAGGTGAAAAGCTGTATTCTCCCTCACTTGCTACATGCTGCTCAGTCACATATTTGCAAAATGTCACTGGGTTTTCGGCTGTATTTCTAATATAACTTGCCCACTGACTTGAGTGGCTAGTCAAGTGGCTTCAGTCATTGATGAATACAGAAAAAGAAGTAAGAGAAATCAGAGTAAAGGTATATGACTTGCATCTGAAGTATATGAGCGTGTAAGTTTTCCTCTTAAATGTTGTTTCAAAATTTAGCATGAGGTTCACCACAGATTCATGCTGAGTCCTGGAATCCTAGGCCCACACCTTCACAAGTATGTAGCTACCTAAGTTCCATTAATTCAATGGGAAGTACACACTGTACCACTGAGGATCTAGGCCCTAGTGCTAAAGTTTCCATTCTTGCTCTACATAGTATAATTTCTTCTGAGTTATGGTAGACTGATGCAGCAATGAGTCTTTGCTTTGAAACCTCTATACTAGAGAAGTCAGACGAACAAGTGTTGAATAAATTTAAATGTATCCCATTACTTCTAATCACCATCCTACTCTGACTGACTCTCTCACAAGGGTCCTGGAAGGTTTACAAACATGCAGCTTCTGCTACTGGGCTCAAGTGGGTAGCAAGTTTAAAAGAAACAAAAGGAAGTATTTCTTCACACAGCATACAATCAACCTATAGAGCTCCTTGCCTGAGGATGTTGTGAAGACCAGACTTTAACAGAGTCCAAAAAAGAACTAGATAAATTAATGGAGGTTTGGTCCAGCAATGGCTATCAGCCAGAATGGGTAGGGATGGTGTCCCTAGCCTCTATTTGTCAGAGGCTGGAAATGGGTGACAGGAGAGGGATCACTTGATGATTCCCTGTTCTGTTCATTCCCTCTGGCCATCTGGCATTGGCCACTGTCAGCAGACAGGATATGGGGCTGGATGAACCCTTGGTCTGACCCAGTCTGGCTGTTCTTATTTCCCTATGTTCTAATGATATATTGCATCACTTGGCAGCTTTTCATACACACAAAGATCAATGCAAATCCAACTGGACCATCTGACTTACAGTGTTGCAATCTCCTCTGAGATGTTGACTTGTGCTTTGATTTTCAGATCCTTCTGAATCTGTGGGTCACAGGCCTGTCTGTAATCTCCCATATATAACTTAGCAGGCAGTATCTCTACAGGGTATGGCTGAAAGGCATCCAGTTCCTGCAGAAGAGGCACAAAAGGGTTAATACAGATAAATGAACTTATTTCTATTTGTCTTAATCTTACCTTGGAAAGTTCTTATACCTGGATCCTGAGAAGAAATGAACCAGTGCAAAGTCAGTGTCCCACAGCTACATTCAAACAGAAAGGAGGTACATTCATTTAATCAGACAGATATTCTGTAGATCAGAAGTTATCACTAGACTCAGTCAGTGAAATT